TTTTTTATCTTTATACAGGAGCATTTTTGGAATCTGGACAAAACTGAATTTAGGATTCCTCCTAAATTGATCATCCAGATATGGGATAATGACAAATTCTCCCTGGATGACTACTTAGGTGAAACAGTATTCCAAATTCTGCTATAACATATGCTCTGCAGCTTTGTCACAGAAAGACATGTACATATTTTATGTTGCAGGGTCAATTGAGCTGGACTTACTGAATCTCATCCCTCCTGCAAAGACCCCAGAAAAGTGCAGCCTGAAGATGCTGCAAGGAATGATGGCATCACAGCCCACCTCACTCTTCTCCCAGAAGTCTGTGCGAGGCTGGTGGCCATGTGCAATTGAGCAGGGTGGAAAACCTGTACTTGGTGTATGTTCATGTCTCCAGCACACTTATTTGTCATATTTTTTAAATGTGTGTGTTTTTTGTGGGATCCTGTTTAAGGCCTTGTTTTTAAAAAATTTGCAGGGAAAAGTTGAGATGACACTGGAAATAGTGGACGAGAAGGAGATGGAGGAAAGGCCAGCCGGGAAAGGCAGAGAAGAGCCCAACATAAATCCCAGACTGGAACCACCCAAGTAAAAATATGTCTCTCCAAAGAAAAATTAATAACTGTTTTACATTAATATACTTAATTTAAAAATAATCGTGTGTCTCTATTCTCTAACAGCCGCCCTGACACTTCGTTCTTCTGGTTTACAAATCCTTGCAAGACCATGAAGTTCATAGTGTGGCGCAGATTCAAGTGGATTTTCATTTTAGGAGTTCTTCTCCTGCTTGTACTCTTGTTCCTTGGGATCCTTTTCTACTCCCTCCCCGTAAGTTCACTCATTTTGCTGATAATGAAGTCAAGTTTGTTGTGTCCATCAGAACCTTTAAAGTATTTTGTCTAAAACACTTTGGATATTTGGATACTGAAATTAATTCAGCATTTAAAAAGCCCATTTTTTCTCTCTGCAGAATTATATCTCCATGAAGATCGTCAAGCCTTTCTCTTAAGAAGCACTGTAGAGAAGCTCTGTACCTACCTGCAGCACAACCTACAGACCTGCTTGCTGTTACCATCCCATGGAAATAAGCAATAACTGTCTCTGCTGATGCCTTAGAAATCTGACACTAAGCATTTTCCTGTCACAATGACTGCTATTAATTTTGTATTTTTACACTCTCAGTATTATTTTGTACCTCATGTATATTAAATCAAATTTGTTGCACTGACTGTTAAATGAAAAAAAAGCAACAGAAATGACATTTCAATAAATCATAGGGATCTATCTATTGATAGATTGATAGATCGATAGATACATAGTCAGATATCCATATCTTCATACATAGTTTGTATGAAAATCATGATAACATCAAGTATTCTGTGTAAACATGTTTGAACATCAGTCAGTAAAATGTCATGATTATGCATTAAATTTTGGTTCATAATTTTCACACAACACCTGAGTGTTTAAATTTTAAGTGAGATGCCTAAATAAATATATAATTTTTTTCTATTAATAAAATAATATTTTGTTTGCAGCAGTAAAATTCATAAATACAGTATGTAGGTTTTCAAGGTTTTTTTATATTTTTGATTTTATAATTTCCCATGAGCCCCCACAAGCTGGTTGTTGGAGCTAAAAAACAAACAAACAAAAAGCTGGAATCACCCTGAGAGTACTTGCTGTGGTCTGTTGGTTGAGCAAGAGAGCTGTTGGCACCAGCCGCCCGAATAATCTGATCAGAGAGGCCGGCTCTGTGTGTAATGGTCCAAGCAATGGGGAATTTCCCTTTTTTTCTGTCTCTCCTCTCAGGTGGAGTTGTAGACTGGATGTTCGTGCTAGGCCTCCCTGCTGATAGAGTCTCAGTTTTCCTGGTCTTCAGCCGTTGCACAAATTTTTATTTCCTCATCACTGTGGCAGTTATAACCAGCTTGTGCACACAAAATTTGTGTGACAGAGAACCATTTGACAGCCTTAATAACATTTGCTCTGGTAAAATGATGAAAAAATGTACTTCATCAAACTTCCAGCTCCAAAACTTTAAGTCTTAGCTTGAAGAAACAGCATTGTGCATGCTTCTTTTCAGTTAGGAAAAGGTCTGCAGCTTCTGCATTGCTCTCTGACTTTTTACTCATGTTTGGGTTCAAATATCACAATGCCAGCACAAATCATGTTCTTTGAAAGCACAAACTGACATATGGATAAACAGCCAATCTTGGTCAAAACAGAGTTACTACTATTTCGATACTAATCTGAAGTAAGGGCCCAGGGTCCAGAATCGCCCCAGTAAAGACTCCAGTTGGACCCATTAGACTTTGGAAAATGTGAAGCAGGGCATAAATTTCAGCATAGTTGGCACATATTTTATTATATTTTTTGTATATGTTTCAGCTTTTCCAACTGATAAAGACTTCCTCTGTGGCCATTCATGCAACATCTTTTTTTCTGCTATATCTACTATAGAAATAAAGATGAAAAAATCTGCAAATTAACAAATATTATTTTATATTGTTCAATTGTATGTTTAATTGTTTTATAATACAGGAAAGCCTGTGCAATGTAATTTTACACATTTATTTCTTATAGTTAAATCCTCGAGAGTCACATTGACAGATTTCTTTCATTTACCATCTTAGCATTACGTGTATTTACACCGGTCCAGCAGGTGGCGGCAATGCACTTGTAAGTTGGTGTGCTATCCGCCCTTAAAAGCCACAAGAAGAAGAATAAGCATCTCGAAGTGAAAGTGAATAATGTGGAGAAAAATAGTTTATATTTAAAAGCCTCGAACAAGGAACAAGCTTGTAAGTTACGTTTCTTTATTTGAATGACGACCGCACTGTTAGCTTATATAGGTTAATCCGAGCTACAGTAATCGAGGCTAACCTTCAGCATTTATAGCCAATCAAAGCTAAGTTAGCTAAAGATGCTGTGTTTTTGCAGTGCGCTCAGGGTAGTAAGATAAAGAAAAATCTGTCGTTTTAGCGTGAAAGTGACGTGTCAAATGAAGAAAATATGCTTGGCCAGCTCGTCGTAGCTTTGTTGGAGCTGTCAGCTGTGCGTTTTTTTCGCGGTGTGCCGTCTTTGTCTGTAATTAATGCACATATATACAGGAAAAATGAACTGAATCTGTAACTTACTGTGAACATCTACCTACGACCATCTTCGCTGAAGTCACAGAATGTAATAAGTGGACCAAAACACCTATTTAGGTCTTACTGTAGCTTCCACCCGGCACTAGGAATAAACAAAGTTTGTATTTCACTGTATTAGAAGTCCAGTTATACATACCAAGACCAGTGTATTTCTATTGTTTCTATGTTGTTGCTTACGAAGGCTGAATGTCATGTTTATTTCTGGTTTGTAAGGATTTCTTTGAACAGTTCTTTTAACTACTGTACAACATAAATCTGTAATCGCTTTAAAATACAAGAATTGGGTGCAAAAAATGAAGTGAATTTGTTTTTTTTTTCTTCTCTAATCCACACCTGGTCAAAAGGTGTGGATTAGCTCAAATATATAAACACCCTTATTATTTTTTGGTTAGCTATTGATTTGAGATGAAGTTGAAGTATATGGAGATACTCCTCCAGTCCATGGCATTGTCAATGTGGACATTGTCAATGTGGACATTGTCAATGTGGACATTGCCAATGTGGACATTGTCAATGTGGACATTGATGCTGGCGTTCGAGTAGTCGATACTTCACGGGAGGCTTAGTCTTTGTAGTTCCAGGGTTATCACTGAACAGCATCCTTACCAATTCCTCTCTAAAACTTTGGGTATATTTCCAGACGCTGGAAAACACACAGGCGCATAACTTGTACTTATGTACAGTTGTTTGAAGTAATTATCTTGCTGCACAATCATGCCACCCTGGAAAAGTTCAAAGAAACCATTAAAAGCCTCAAATTACCCTGACATGCCAATGATGAGTGTATATAAACTGCCTTTTCTTACTGTGCCAGCATATTTACTTTCTTTCTCTCTAATACAGCTGGTTCTGATTAGTCTTGTATGACGTGTTAAACGTGGATGAAGTTATGGATTCTCAAACGAGGTAAAGTATCCAAGTTAACAGTTTGCTTGGTCTTGCATGAGTAATTTCCAATGTACTGCTAATTAAAGAAGATATTGATGGAAAATGTGTGATTATGATAAAAGTATATTTTATATGTTTTATTTTCTTTCTTTTTTGCAGCAGTTTAAATGCTGAGGTTAATCAAGAAGATGTAAAGAATGATGCTCCAAAAACTAACCTCACAGATGAAAGTGATGAACTCTGTTTTGAACCACAAACGTCTGACGCTACAGGATACAGTACACAAACAGAGAACACACATGATGATGTGTCTTCCCAGAATTTGATGGACTGTAGGTCTGCAGGTGACACGGATGAAGCTGTGCTCACGTGCAGCAAAAGTAACACAGCTCCAACACAGTGTTCTAATGGGCAGAAATCTAAGAGGCCCAGTTCACCAGGTCCTCACCCCTCTAAGACAACCTGTGTTGCTGCACACACTACCAATACAAAACTCCCTCCCTGTCTTAGTTTTAGTTCCAAAAACCCAGAGTGTACCCCCATTGATGTGGAGATGCTCAGTCCTGATAGTCCAGTCTGTAAAACCATGTTCAACAACTCTGCAGACCAGGATTGTGATGGAGGTTTTTGTGCAGAGCACTCTGCCTTTGCAAAGGCTCAGGTAATGGAATCTCAGCAGACTATCAAAGACTCTGATCCAGGAAGTTCAACCAAAGAAAGAGAACATCTTCCTGCAATCGGATCCGAGGATGCTGAAATAGCAGACCACAGTGGGTCATCTAATATGAGCCAGGACTTAATTGAAAGCCAGCCAGATGCAATTTTGCAAAGGTCCTTGGAAAGATTTTCACTACAACTTTTTTTTGTGCCCTAGTGCCATTATATTCATAATGTCCTTTAGTTAATCTACTGTCTGCTTACCTGTTCTGCCTTTTTTCTGTATAGTGTTTCATGCCCATCACATAACATTGAGACAAAATGGCAGGGGACGCCCATAGATGAGCTGAACAGACTACCCCAGTGTGCCCCTCCTCTGTCCCACCTGAAATCAGCACCTCATCACACTGTCACAGTCAGGGTGAGTCAACAGCCACTTCTTCTTTTGTGGATCTTTGTATTTGCTAATACAGATATGTTCATGATGACCTGCTGAAGTTCAAACTAAGCATCAGAATGAAAGGTTATTTAAGTGAATTTGAACGTGTCATGAATGTTGATGGCTGCTCTGTGTATTTCAGGCTATGGGGAATTAAATAAAATGTTTTCCATCCAGCATGCTTTAATATTTGTAATTCAAAAGTTATTACTTTGGAAAAAAAAAGACTCCTAAAGAAATAAAGCAATTTATTTAAATCACATTGCTGACTACTGAGCCTTGTTAACCTATGAGGCAGATTTTGTTTAACTCACCATAATTATCTGTTCAAATGTTATTCTAATAAAGGATGATGCTGAAGCTGATAGTAAACTAAGGTTGTTATTGCAAAAGGAATCTGCATTTCTTTGTTTGGCTGTAAGCCTATTAGTGTGTGTCATCCCCTCACTGATACCTGGGAGTCTCTCGAGAGCACGTTTAGGACAGATGAGCACAGAGCATAGCAGCACCAGCTGTTTCAGGTGAACCAGGGGAATGTCTTCCTTTGTTACTGTCTCACTCTTTCAGTCTTTTAATACTTGTGCTTATCTACTGGGATTTTCCTACACAGGCATCTCTGGGTTTTACAGAGAATAATGTGAAAAAGAGAAAATATTCAGTGAATGGCGGTTCTCTGGCTAATAAGGGCATGTCAGAGTTAAATGCCCAGAGATCTTCAGTCTCATAGGAAGCCAACAGTAACTCACATAACCGGTTGTTACAGGCAAAGTATGCAGAAGAGCAGCTCTGAATGCACAACATGTTGAACCATGAAGCAGACGGGTTACGGCAGCAACAGACCACACTAAGTGCAACTCCTGTCAGCTAAGAACAAGAAACTGAGGCTACAGTTAACATGGGCTCACTAAAATGATCCAATAGAAGATTGGAAAGACTTTGCCTGGTCTGACGAGTGTTGATTTGTACTGTGACATTCTGATGGTAGATTCAGAAGTTGAATTAAACTGCATAAAAACCTGGCTCCATCCTTCCTTGCATTAACTGTCCAGGCTGGTGGTGGTTGTAATAGTCTATGGGATATTTTCTAGGCACACTTTGGTACCAACTGAGGATTGTTTCAACATGACAGCCTACCTGAGTGTTGTTGCTGACTAAGTTTATCTATCTCTGAATGATCCCAGTGCACAGGCTATCATCTTTCTGTTTCCAGCAGGATAATGCATCATGCATCAATGTGTCATAAAGCTCAGATAATCTCAAACTGATTTCTTGAACATCACAATGAGTTCATTGTACTCAAATGACCTCCACAGTCACCAGATCTCAGTTCAACAGAGCACCTTTGGGATGTGGTGGAACAGGAGATTTGGATCGTGGCTGTACAGCCGACAAATCTGCAGCAACTGTGTGATGCTATTATATCAACATGGACCACAATGTTTGAGGAATATTTCCAGCACCTTGTTGAATCAATGCTACAGTAATTAAAGCAACTCGGAAGGCAAAAGGAGGTCCAACTCAGTACTAGCAAGGTGTACCTAATAAAGTGTCTGGTGAGTGTGTATCATCGCTTGATGAAATGTGTTTATATAAGAGAAAAGAAGACTGGGAGGATTGGCAAAGATGATGTAAAGAATGGCTCTTGAGATGCAGACAGGGTGAATGAGAATGAGAGAGACAGTGCTGGGCCGAGTGAAGCCGTCCTCCATGATCCCCTGAGGGGCTCTTGTCAGTAGCAGTCCTATCAGACTATCCTCCACTGCTCGTCCCACAGGGACATAGTCAGTGCTGCTTTACTGCTACAACTTGCTCTTACCATCACCAAACACTGCCACAAAAACTAGATGCTGCCAATCACTAAATTCCAAGAATGAAAATGTATTTGTAATAAATGTTTTAATTAGATCTAATGTGTACACTGAAAACTGGTTGTCTTTTAGTTCATTACGCATCAAAGAAATATATGACTTGAAAATATGTAATGCTTGTATTTTTATTTTCTATGCGTTTACCTTTAGTGTGAGGCAATTAAAATGCCTTATACAAGATAAGCTTTTATAGAAATTTTAGTTTATTCTTTAATTTTTTACGCTATCTACCAAGCTGTGCTCTAACTTTCAGGGGCTTTTAAAATAAACCAAAAGGCATTCTTTTAATGAGCAAAGGGAAAACAGTTAATTTCATCATAATTTCTCTAAAAACAACAGTAACCTGTAAAGAACATGTTTTCCTCTTGCATTTTTATTTCCCTGTTACAGACAGATCTCCTCAGGGAGGGAGAAGTCCCTGTCCCATACCCTACCAAGTTCAAGGATGCATGGGATGATTTGTCAGTGAAGATGCCCTGCTCTGAGAAGAATCTGTTTCCTATGGAGACCGAGGTATAATAGTTGTATAGCATCCCTCCATCCAGACATGCCATTTCAGTACAATAAAGTTAGTTACTGCAAGAACATTGATGTAAGAAAAGTTTGTATTTATTTATTTATTTATTTATTTTTTATGTTGTGTAGGATGGAAATGGCGTCCAAAGTCGATGGGACCTGATCCGCACTGCTTTGCAGAGGGGGTTCAAAAGTTGTCTGGATGTGAGGGTAAGAGATCAGAGACACTGGTTAGTCAAACCTAAAATATGGAAACCAAGCAGTTGAAACCCTGAAACACTTACACTCCAGTAAACTGTTTCAAAAAGCAGAAAAAATTTGTGTTGCCAGAGTTGCCAAACAAATGACCACAGTAGGCTTTTAAGTGTTTTACATAATATTGAAGAATTTCTGAGCATATTTGTTTCCAATTATATTGTGAAAGCAATGGCAAAGATACAAATCGTATTCCATAAGCAACCACATGGTGGCAGAGTTTGCATCAGTTGTATTTTACACCATTTATAAAACCAGATTTGTACTTTTGTGCGCAAATGTTACATTTTCAGTCTGACTTCTAACTTCTCATTCTTCTCTTCAGGATGCAATCCTTAGGTATAACACAGCCCATGCAAAGAAATGGGACTTCACTGCCCTGAACCTTCTTTGTACAGAGGTACGATGTTCAGTATACGACTGTTACCTGATGTTTATGGGCCTGTCTTGTACAAAAGAAAAGGCATAATATTAGCACAACTTCCTAATGGACTACTGAAAATGTTTTAATTCCAACAACTTGTCCTGTACAGACATGTTTGCTGAATATAGCAGACCTAAGAATCCTTTTATAAGATCTTTACCATGAAAAAAAACTCATAAAGATTTATTTGAATCTGATTGAGCCTTGTTGACTTGTAAGTCCCAGCAAAATTTAAGTCACCATGATTATCTGGTTAAATGTTAGTCTAATGAAGAATGAATCTAAAGCTGATAGTAAAGTAAAGTTGTTATCGCAAAGGGAATCTGCTTGTCTTTGTTTGACTGTAAGCCCATTAGTGTGTGTCATCCCCTCACGGTACCTGTGAGTCTCCCGGGAGCACATTTAGGACAGATGAGCACAGAGCATAGCAGCACCAGCTGTTTCAGGTGAACCAGGGGAATGTCTTCTTTTTTATTGTCTTCCTCTTTATCCTTTTAAACACTTCTTATCCTCTTTTCAGACAGTTAGGGGCTATAATTGCACTCGTGTTATGAGGATAACATTTTTAGATATGGGACAATGATTTCTTGTCATTCAATTTTACAAGATAACTTTTTAAAGTGTCAGCCCTTTTACAGAGTTTCTCTCCTTAGAGATTGTAGATAAAGTATGATCTTTATTACTTATTATGTCTACTGCACAGGCTGAAACTTTATATTTTAACCACACCACCACCCAAAAGAGCCTAAAGATAGATGGCAAAGCAAATTCAATTTGAAGCCTAATTTTATAGCTACGTTTAGCATTTAGAAGCATTTGTTTTATTCCTAAATTCTTCCTGGGTATATCAATTAGGAACAGAATCGTTATAACAATGCAGTGTTCAGAATTAAGTGAGTGCTTGTGATATCCGGCACAGTCCAGCCAAATTGTTATTTAAACCTAATGCTTGTTCCCTCTCATCGTGGATTACTCAGCTAAATTTAGCCCATTCAGAATTGTTTTTTTTCCTTCTCTCTGAGATATTTTCTTAGTAAGCCAGAAAGCTTGGCAGATCAATAGCTGTCTAAGCCTTTTTATAGCTTAATCCAATTTAATTAAAAGCCCCCATTAAGTCTGTAAGGATGCTAAGTAAGGCCAGGCAGTAAGTTGGTCTTCCCGGAAGCAATTTCATCAGCAACTCCAACTGCCTGCTCGCTGTCGTGACCACAGCAATTCCCCCACTTTTGTCATTTTTATGTTCCAAAGACATTTTATAAAGGCAAGCGGTGCTCACTAGAGAAGGACAAACCAGTGTTTAAATGACACAGTAGAAACCAGAATTTGATTACATAAGCCAGAGGTCCCCAACCCTTTTTGCGCCACGGACCGGTTTATCTCTGACAATATTTTCACAGACCGGCCTTTAAGGTGTCGTGGATAAATACAACAAAATAAAACCAGTGCTGGTACCCAAAACAAGGAGGATTTATTCATAAGACACGGGAAAAGACCCAGGGAAACAGAGTTAACGATAAAAACGTTTAAAGAATAATAAAAACCCTGAAAACCATAAATTTCACACCCGAGCCTCAACTCTCGTAGCCCAGTAGCAAACGACTCACGGACTGGTTCCAGCCCGATACCAAACGACTCGGGTACGTGGCCTGGTTGTTGGGGACCGCTGACATAAGCAACAGTTAGCCAAGTGATGAATCCACCCACTAAATATTCTTGAATAGAAAGACGTAGGCACAGCACACCTGCTGGCTGTGACTGGTATCAAGCATTCAGACCTTCATGACAACACTTAAGCAGAAATGATTAACAGCTGTCTTTCTACGACAGACCTGTTTCATGCAAAGCGATTTATTTGTTATGCACACTCTAATGTCGTGAAGAAACAAACGGTCAGCCATTCTATAACAGTGGCCAAACCAGCTGATTGATATAACAGTTTTCAGTGTCATATTTGTTTTTTGTGGTCATTACGAATGCTAACCACTGAACTTCTAAGCCAATACAACCTAATTAAATGTGGTGCAACATCTTGTATCACTGAGGTAAAATAGTGAAGGGATACGTGGCCCCTGGGCCTGTGACTGACAGTCCGCTCAGCATGTAATAGCCATTAGGTAAAAAAAAAAAGAAGAGGTTTCCAAATTAGGGCTTGTCTGTAAATTGTCTTAGTGTTTCTCCTCTGCCGAATGAAACTGTCACTGTGTCATTTTCTGACGAATGCCTGAGGGCTAAGCACAAACCCAGTCCGGGAGTACAGTACAGCTGATGTTTCAGTACACAAACATATATATAGCAGCAAGACAACAAGGCTGTTCCTCTCATTTTTGTGCCCTGTTGCTTGCTTGTTTGCTTCTGTCTCTCTCACTGTTAAAAATGTCTTGAAATGCAGGGTTTGACACTGGGGAAACACCCTTAGAAGAACTGTAAATTAAATAGTCAAATCAAGAGTTGTGAAGGTTGAGCTGCCAGAAAATTAAAATGACTTGTAAAGACTAGAATGTATGGAAGATCAATGTCTAATCGATCACTATGCTATGAAGCACTAAATCCTGACTGCCCTGATGAAACTTGGTCTGTCATATTTATGGATGTGAAATGTATAGTTTGTGTGTCCACCCTAACCTTGTGGTGAGCTGCTCTAGCTGTGGAAAGGGTGGGGGGGGGGTTGTCTTTCTGCCCTCATCCTGCCGCATCACCAGCTACCATCTATTAGTCCCACAGGAGCGCTTTATGATGTCTGCCAGCTCATTACTCCTGACAGCATTTAGTCAGACCTGCTCTGCAGTCATATAAATGCCCCTGGCCAAATCAACCACCAAAGACTTCCTGTGGAAAATCAAGCCACCCTGCCACTCTCTCCACAATTGGTCATTTGCATTTGCTCCCAGAAGATCCATTTAATCAGCACAAGCTCCCCTGCTTACCTTGATAGAATAAGGCATGTGATTGATGACAGTGACATTCGAAGCCAATACACTCATAAATGATTGCGTTGTAAATCTGGGGTGTATGATGGAATAACTGGGTGTTTATTTTAGGGGGAATTGCAGATGGATGCTGAGGTAAGCTTCAAGCTGAAGTATGGATGCCTCAGCTGTGGCGAGCTCATTCCTAGATTGATGGTAGTTTCTTTGGAAAAGGGTTCTGTGCAGTGAACGCCTCTGCAGCATTTCTGTTTCTGTGTTTTTTTTTTCACTGTTGAAGTTTAAGTATTATTGATATCTGAGTAGTGGGAGTTCATCCTATAACAACAATAAACTGAAACTTGAGTTTTTATTGTTGGATTTGAGAGAAAATTGCGTAGATATTGCTTACTGGTGTAGGGTTATGACCTCTGACTTGCTGTAAAGCTGTTTTTAGACCATGTCAAGTTAATCAAACAGTTGGCTCATCCTCAGATTTTCAGTTACATCCTGGGTCCTGGGCTTAAGAAAACAATACTAAACCTTAAAAAATGGCACGTTTAAAATTGAGGGAAAATGAACAACAAATGCACAAAACAAGGAATAATTTATGGCTCTTTTTTAATTGCATGAAACCCGTGCATCATTTCTTTTGTTAATATTCAATGAGGAAAGCAATGCGTGGAAAATTTATTTTATTTTATTTATAAAATTCAACACACATCAACAATGTGTGACATATGTGGGTTTAGGTTAATTTGAGCCTTAATTAGCCCTATGCATGAATTCGCATGTGTATGGCTGTCTGTCCTTGTTAGCTCTGTGACAGACTGGCGACCGGGCTACGATGTATCCTGTGTCTCACACTTGGGCAGTTGTGATAAGCTCCAGCCCCTTGGACACTGAACTAGATAAGGGGAAGAAAATGGATGGATTGATGTTAAAACTCATATTTATTACATGAATGAGTTGTTCCAGTATATTTGTTGAAAGTGCAACAAATGAAGACGTAGCTTCTTAGCTTGTACTTATACATAAAAAAGACAGATTTTGTTTTTTGTTTGGACAAAAACCAAGTCAAAATCATGCTCAAGTCAATGAGCAGAAAATATAAAGCACAAAAACAAGCACTGGTTTGATTCTTAAATAAATAACAAAAAGTTAGGTTTTTTTTCTCCATTTGTTAAGAGAAATCTGTGGTGTGACAAAACAATATGTCAACTTACATATAATCAGTCACTCTGACTGCTGGCTCCGAGTAACTGACTGCCTAAGTAGGCAGTCAACTCAACACATATCTCATTTAACAATACTTAAGCTTACATGTATTTTTTTTTGTCTTTTCAGTGTCTTGAACATTGTGAGGTACAGCAACTGTTTGATACCGTACTACCTGCTATGGTTGCTCTTGCACTTAAAGCTCCTCGGCTGTGCACAATGGTAGGTTTTGATTGTTGTCTGTATTTATACCAAATTATCTATTTTAAGGGCTTTGGAAATGTGTAAAGGTCAGGCATTACTAATGAAAGTAGCAGTGTTTAAGGTATGCAGGAAGACGAATAAAAGTGTGGTAAGTTAGCAGGACGGGTTAGATGGTGCATCAACTTATGAGTTACAACTCGCAGCTAATGAATCCAACTCTTTGGTCCATATCAGGAACTGCTTCATTAGAAAAGAGGACTGGGAGAGGAGAGGTCCATGTTCTGCCATCCATTTCATGTGCTATGCTTTTGCACTTAGGAAACTCCACTTACTTTTTGTGAATTCGGTGCACTAAGTTGGGACTTCTGAATTTTAAAATGCAGTCTATCGCTTTAGATTTCCACAAGTATTCCTGTTCCAAGCAAGACACATTGGTAGTGCGGGTTTGAAATCGGCCGCTTTGAACCCCAGAAGGCCTTTTTGCAGTTCACATAACATGGAGATCCATGTCAGAGTTCTTTTAAATGTCATGTCCATTTGTCCTTGTTTCCCTCTTCTGTCATCAATTTTAGCTATCTGAGAATTACAGGATTGGTATTTTTGTAATCACGTTATCTATTTCAGTCTTCAGTATAATTTAATAAAGAGAATTCAGCTCCCACTGCGCGATAGGGGAATCCCTCTAGTTCCTGTTTACGTTGAGAGCCAGGGGCAGAGGTTTAAGTATTATCCACTTTAACTAGAGCATGGAGTTTCTGTTACAGATTCCATTTTAAAGGGCATTATTTGCAGATATTGAATAATGAAGCTTTCTGACTCTCTCAGCTGTGTTTGGCAGTATTAAGCGTCAAGCCTAATATTTATATGTGCGTTATTAGAGCTGGTATTGATCTGCTAACTGGGCAGCCTTGGGAGGCTCTTTAGCCTTAATCAGTGAAGATGGATGGGCCCTATGTGCCTGACTGAACAAACCTGGGGGAGAGCAAGAGAACTGGGACCTTAATTGCTACCACCCATTTAGCTAATGGAACTCTCAGTGTTTGCTAGATTGCTAAACTAATTATCTATCCTCATTAGCTCTTTAGCCTACACCACTAAACCCATATTACTTTGTCTGCTTTTTCTGCATCTGTCTTTGTTACTGTAATCCCTTCTCTTACTTTTTGCTTTGTCACTGTAGCATTGGCATTGTATCATCAAATCACTGATTGGATTTTTTGATTTTTCTGTTTTTTTTCTCTATTTACAGCCAATTCCTTTACTTAAGTCAAGGATGAATCAGTCTCTGACCCTTTCTCAGGAGCAAATAGCCTGTCTTTTGGCCAACGCCTTCTTCTGCACATTCCCTCGACGCAACTCCCGCAAGTCCGAGTATGGCAATTATCCTGAGATCAACTTCTACAGGTGAAAGCACACAAAACAAAAGAAATCACCAGCAGCCTGCTGTTATTAGTATTTTATACAAAAAAAGGTTTTCCCCTTTAGTGCCCACAATGTTGCTTTGTAAGCCTTTATTTAGAGCAGGACAGAGGACGTCTACGGTGATTGAACCCTGTTGCTGTTCTACCCTATAACTGAGGATCAAATCCGTCCCTCAGTATCTATAATACATATCAGTAATAGGGTTTTTTCTTATAAATTTCAGCTATCTGCCTCAGTGTGATTGTTTTGAGCGACTCTGTTTTTAATGATCCTACCATTCAAAATAAACTAACATCCATCAGGGGGCACTACTGCCTTGAAAACCCTTAATAGATGAATTATTTTGTTTTTACTTACTTTCTGTACATATTGTTTCTTGCACATTCAGTGTAGAAATTTACCTTGGCTGCAGTGGTTGGAAAAACAATGAACTGATTTCTGTATGAATGGAGCCACGGTTTGTCATTTGTTTTTAGTTGTTATATTGCAGTTTGTGGTGTAACTGCAAATATCATGTTATCGATTTGAGGATGGGGCTGTGGGCTGAGGATCTTTCTCCATGTTATACCCCATGCGTGGGAGGGAGATCCCAGTAGGAGTGTTAAATTGGAGTTCTTTCTTACAACCTACTCAAAACCAGTGGTGTGTTAAGAAAGCATGGGTTAGCTAATGGAAACAAATTGTTATAATAGACTGTTTTAAAGTGAACACTTGTCTGCTTGTCTGTGTGTCACTGGCTTCTCATAACTTGAAGTGTCACTTTATTTGTTCTAAAAAAAAAAAAAAAGGAAGTGATGCAACTTTATAGCCTAAACGTATAACAATGATGTGCTGTTGTGCTTTTGCTCCGAACATAACAGGTGTGAAGTGTAGGGGACAGCTGACATTGTAAAGATATAGCAAGTTAAAGGAAACTGCCAGTCTAAATATCTTACTTTCTTTTTAAGATCTACCTAAATGGAGAGAACGTAATTTTCCACCTTAAAAGAATAAAAACAAATTTTTAAAACGAATTCGGCTTAATGACCGATGATTTTATGTCACAGTGAAGCATCCCTCATCCATAATTCACATGATTCTCTATTCCTTCCTATTGCACTCAATGATCGCCTAATAGGCTTTCAACCAAATTTTGTTTCTCATTTTATGAGCAGTAACCTGTGAATTGTGATGGATCTCTACCTGGATGAGCTACTACGTCATTGATCTGGTTTATCCTATTACAGATGTGGTTACATTTATCTAAGTCACGTCTTCTGTTTATAGTGGCTGTTGTTTTTCCGGAAGTGTATTTAGAAGTTTATCTGAATTGAAAATGATTTTTACTGTTGTGTTTTCCTGCCCAATGTTTTGTTTTGAGTATTGGTAACAAGAAAGAAGAATTTATGTGAAACAGGACAAGAACTGTGGATGACATATGAATTATGACACAAAGCAAAGTTTTGTGTATAACAGAACAGAAGAAACTATTACAAAAAGCAAAACTTGTCCGAGTGTGAAAAGTTATGACATGATGACTATGAACAGGTAGCTAATTGAATTGGATAGGCATTTTTTCCAAGTATTTTTCCCCCATTTGATAGTGGCTAGAAAGTTGACATATTGTTTATAGGTGAGAATGGCTGGTAACAGAGTTACAATTAGATTTTATTACATGCTTTGCAACTTCATGTTTGGACAGTAAGTGCCTCTGTATATCCTGAACACTGTCCAGACAATACCTCAACTCAATTTTCCCCTATTTCCATGAGGCCCCTTCTCCTCATTAGTGACATTTGCAATACCTTAGGGTTGTTGCCTGACACACTGAAGGCGTTGGTTCGGTAATACCTTATAATGAGTTCCCATATTCTTTGCAGAACATGAACATTTAGTGCTATGAATTTTGACATTCCCTGCTATCTACATGGGCTCTAATTGCTGGTCATTTTCAGATGGAACAAAATACATTTTTCAGTTTATTGTATACGCTGCCTCTTGCTTTATTGATATACTGCTGCCAAATATCAACATTTGTATTCATTTTAGGCGTTTAATGGATTCCCGCGCCAGTTTGACTCACCAGAGTGACTAGTTCATCGCTCGTCATGGTGGTGTTTGTCAAAATAAATTGGAAAATAAATGAACTTGCTGTGGAGAAAAAGAAATTCAAAGGTGGAGAATGGATATTATTAAAATGGAATAATCTTAGCATAACACACAAAATCTGCCCACAAACAACTCTTTCATGTTCAGGAGTTGAACAATCAAAATGGGCACACAGGTACATCTTTGACCCCTGATGGTTCTTATCTGTATCTGATACTATGATGCCATGACATTGCCTAGCAACTAGCTACTAACAGGTTAAAATGACCGATTGGTAACATTTATGTGTAGACTGTGTGAAACAATGTAGAAGTGCCTTAAAGCCTCCATTCTATCTGAAAGCCACCAGATGGCAATAGCTGTAGTTGAAAAAAAGACTTCTGGTCCTTTAGAAGTCTACGAAAGAGCGGATTTCTGATCTGGCCTTTGTAAACACTGTTGATCTGAGTTTATGGCCTCAGTGACTAATTTCTTGATCATATTGAATAAAAATTCATTTGAATTTGTAAATCTTCATTATATTATGTTTCAAAACTGGAGGCTTATCTGTGCTATGAAACCACATGTTTACTGGCTAATAGACTGTTAATCACAAGTTATTATCCAATGAGTGTGCGGTTTCACAGTTAGACGCAAGGCAATAGCAGAAACACTCAATTTCATCTTTCAGTCGAATTCCATTTGGGTTTTTTTTTTATATAAGGCTAAATTACCACAACAGTCACCTGAAGGTGCTTTATATTGCCTATAATAATACAGGGAAAACTGCAAACAATCAGACCATTCCCTATGAGCAAGCACTTGGCGACAGTGGGGGGATAAAAAACAGCCATCTGGTTTGACCAGTTGAGGGTGAATGAAGAGAAAATGTGGAAGAGAGCCAGAGATCTTCAAAACAGGACTTCAGCAACCATGGGCTGAATCCACCTTTTATACTGTCTATATATTTATTCCCTTTATCATCTTATAAAAGCACAATGTGATTTGAATTCACAGCAATAACATCTCATTCATATCAATATAACTTGATTTATGCATCTTAGACTATATAGACAAAGTACTGGTCACCTACACATCACATCTACAGGAGCTGCTTGACAGTGGAAACTTATGCCATGAAGCTTCTGCCGCACAGTTTTTGTACTAATGTCAGTGCCAGCGGAGGTTTGCAACTCTGTAGTTACTGAGTCAGCAGTGTTGGGAACCACTTTGCGCCCCAGCACTTGGTGATCCCACTCTGTAGCTTTACATAGTCTCCCGCTATCTGCCTGAATTCCTAAATATTTCTAGTTGTTATAGTATTATACAGCAAATAACTCCCTCCTCTAGTTCAGAGTATTATGCATCTGCTCTGTCTTTAAGGTTCGATAGAATTATTTTACAAATCCTGTCATCCTACTAATTATCTTTGATTTGGTCAATATAACCTTCAGCTGCCTTATTTTATCTAAACCATAATTGCACTTTCAGTGTCATCTGTGTGTCATCTGTTTGAGGGCACGATATCTGTGTCTGTAATGATGTAAGTATTGATTTCAGTTGCAGCGTTGGCTGTTTCAGACCACTTGGGTCTGCCTTCACTGTCAGTATTTCTGCCTAGAGCAAAATACAGGAAAGGCCAAGAGAGGGGAAAAAAGTCTTTGTGTTTCTGAGGAAACGAGACGAGACAACCGCTGCAGTCTAAAATGGGTCCTGGATCGTTACACGCCCTCCCCTTCTCGCAGTAATTGAGGGAGTGTCCGTCACTTTGCTTATCGGTTACACTAACGCTCTGTCTTGGGCAAACAGAGCAGCAAGCAATCTGCTGATTGCTGTTTTGGCAGAACTGTCGAGATTTGTCCTCTGTTAAGTGATGGATAGATTCAAGGAAGAGGATAGAAAGCAGAAGACTTGTCATTTTATGGCTTGTCTTTTCCTGGGTTTGAGAAGAAAATGACATAGGGAATTCCAATAACAGTTTGGTCAACAATGAAGGCTCATTAGTAAGAAATAAATACCCGTTTTTGTTTTTAAGTCATTGTGAGATGGTCTACCTTGTTTGCAAGAAAATAGCTGAACAGGTTATGGCAAAACTGTCAGAAATATTGTCTCCATATGCACTTTATGCAGTAGGTACGGTTATAGACGACAAGAACCAACTAATTACTGTCCTTAAATGAAAATTGCTGCAGTATATTTTGTAACAAAATCCTTCATAATTAGTAGTCCTTCTTTCTCAAGTGCGGTATAATTTGTGGCTATACTGTAAATCCCACTGTAATTTACTTGTTTCACTTACACTTTCTCATAGTAATGTTGTCCTCCAGGATACATTATGCCAAATTAACACTGACTAAAGGAACTGATGGGGTGAAGGGGTTCACAGAGGATGAGTAAGGTGCTGTGTAAGGAAATAGTGTAGAGAAAACCAAAACTGACATGAAAAAATTATCTTAAATAAATAGCTTTTTTTCTTTACTCACAGTGAGGCTTTTAGCAAATTACCTTTTCATTTAATTTGTTCCCTCTGTTTTTATTTCTTTACCGGTCTGAGCAGAAAGTGGTGGGAGGGAGAGATGCTGAACTATGGTTAGTCATCAGCTTAGGTCGCTTTTAATGGAGGGAGTGTACTAGAATGGGGGTGATTTAAGCTTTCCATCCAATGCTCTCTCCATCCCTCCACCCTAGTTTAATAGTAACTGAAAAACTGAAACGGGGCCTCAGGCAGTGCCGTTATATGAAGGATGAGGGTAGATGGGAGAGACATCATGCCAGTTTGAAAGCGTGACTTCACTCATGTTCCTGTTGTGCAGTGAGCTTTAGATAATAAATGAGTGAAACATTAATGCCTCTCATCTTCTAAAATGTAACACATTATTTAATGTCAAAAATACAGGTGCTATTATAAAGTTTTGGAATTTGCCCCATAAAAATCTAAAATTAGACCTGAATTAGATTTGGCTTCATGTTCCATCGTAGATATTCTGGAAAGGTTATGCTTTCAGCATTGCTGTGGAAGTGTTGCTGTGATGACTTGCACTTCTACATCCCCTCCCGTTGGTCTACTGGATAGTTGGATGGATAGCACAATACCAAGTACCACCATTCAATTTGTTTGACTGTTTATATGCCTGAACGGCATACAGACACAACATTGAAGGGGAGATACTGTACATTTTACTCTTTTTTTCAGAAGTTGTATAAACCTTTTCATGTAGTGTTTTAAATTAAGTGTTTTTTAACTCAGACATACATTTTCTTTTGGTTTCAGGTTGTTTGAAGGTCCTTCACCAAGAAAAATTGAGAAATTGAAAACTCTGCTGTGTTACTTCAGGAGAGTTACAGAGACTAGTAAGCAATGAAAATAACTAACATAACGTTGTAGAAGTTGTTGCGCTTCCCTGTGTCTTTCAGTTGAATAACCTTTTGTCTGCTTTATTTTTAAGCACCCAAGGGTCTTGTTACATTTACAAGACAAACACTAAACAATCCACCAGACTGGGAAAGGTAATAATTACTTCTCTGGTTCCTTATGAACATAATAAACTAATGAAGTGCATTTAAAATAAATTATCTTGCGATTCATGGCATACTCTGTCCAAAACAAATAGTATATTCTGCATTCTGTGAAGGCATATAATTGTTGTAGGGGAGTAATTGTTATTTTAACAGGAAGTAAAACCCTGAAATTCTATCAAAGTTTCACTAAATCTTTCCTGAATAACTCTGAAGTGTGTTGATTTTGTCTGAGTGGGATAGTGACCATCAACTCCTCATAGCTTCTTTGGTGCTCATGTGCACAGATAATTGCCATTATATAAATTCCTACAATGAAAGTAGTAGTAGGACAGTGTTTTTAAAGGGTGGATTTGAAAGAGTAAAGGGTTGGGTTTTTTCCCTCCCCTTTTTTTTGTCCAGCTCTCAGACTCAGCTGACACGCCTGCATATCACTTGTGAAGGGACAATTGAGGAACATGGATATGGAATGCTCCAGGTAGGAATGTTTTACCACACACTAAGCACACAGTTTTACCTCTGACTTCAGTAATTAAATACTTTCAGGTCATCCATGTCTTGTTAAAAATATCAAAAGCACTTCTTAACAGCATCTTTTTTTCTTTTAATGGGAGAATTTTAATTTTCAATTTTAAATACAAATAGTATTCTGCAGTTTTTTACTGTGGTTACACCTAATGAGTATGATTCTGTCGATCAGTCTATTTTTCTTGCTTAAAAAGTAAAAATATGACCTTCAGCTTTAAACCAGTTGTATGATTTTTGTGCATATCAATGCAAGTTATTGAATCTCTGTCTGCAGTGACTCACCCCATCTTCTTACCCCCCTTGTTGTTTCTGTGTAGCTGCCGCATTTATTTTACTCTAGTTGACAGCTGATGTATACACATGAGTAGCTCCGAGTGGCAAGGGTGGAGGAGAGGACCCTGGGGTGGGGGATGAGGGAGAAGGAGGCACACAGAGACAAAGATGACGTCGGGGATCCATCTCACTGGGGTGACCCAGTGAGCTTGGAGTAATGTAGGCGGATTGATGGCTACCTCAGCAGGCTGGATATTGGTTGTGTGTTGAGTTTTGATAGGGCAGAGCGAGCTGTCATCCTGTCGGGAGGTGAGATTGAAGGGTGGGGGGTGAGGTTAGGGGTAAACCAGTGAAGGTGAGGAGTTGAGTGGCTGGTTAGAAAACATACACAAACCCACTGTCACACAGATTGACGTAGCTGTGGGCCACTGAGCAGAACCTTCACCCCTGACAAGCTGTTTAAATATCTGCATTGTGATTTGAATGGGATGTTCTCTTATGCGTGCCACAAAAACAAGATCTGGTCTTTCAAGGCATGAAGCTCAAGCACCACACTGAAAATACTTCCCCAAAGAAGCATGAATCCTAGAAATAAGCACAAACATATCGGTTATTGGTATGGATTTATCTTATTTCAACAAATCCCTGGGCTGTTTTTTAAAATTTTATTTCTTGGACTCAGTGTAGATCTTGAACTTTGTGGGTAACAGAGAGGATTTTGAAATGTGGAAAATGTCATTAATATCAGTCCAGACTGTTATTTTGGTCATTTCATATCATTATATATGTATTTTTTTTTTAGCTGGATTGGGTTGAAGTTTTTTAAGACTGAAAAACATGGTCATGTGACTGCAAAAGAAGCCTGACTCATCACCACTCCACCACCGTGCTTGACATGGTTTGAGGTGTTTCTGCTGAGAAGCTGTGTTGGTTTCATCAAACATCTCCAAAGGACATTGTTCAAGAAGTCTTGGTGTTTGTTCAGATCCAACTTGGCAAACCTACACTGTGCTGCCATGTTCTTTGCAGAGAGAGAGAAGAGGGTTTCCCTTGGCAACCCTTCCATACTATTGTCTTTTTCTAATTGTATTGTCATGAACTTTCATTTTTAACATGGTAGCTGAGGCCTGTAGAATCAGAGCTGTAGCACTTTTCTTTTCTTTACCTGACTGTATATTGATTCTCAGGGTTTGTGACTTTAGATTGTGACACTAGGAGTTGGTGTCAAATTGGTTTGGTTGTAGTTTTTGACATAACTCAAATATGTTGTTCAGTCTTAAAAATTTCAGATGGACAAGTCCTTTACTTTTAGTAAGTTATAAAAGATGCAACTGGATAAAACGCAGATAAAGTTGGCAGATTGCTGAACAGCAATGACCTTTTATTGGCCGGTTCCTTTTTCTCTTTGTTGAATAAACACTGAATAGATAATGAATAGTGAGGCCTCTTAGAAAATGCAAAACTCAGACATGTGGGAAATCTGCACACATTCATGCACTGTAGATTTGAAGTACATCTTTAGACTTCATGGGTTGTGTTCTGTTACAATTTCCTGATTGGATTATTTCCATGCAGGAAGGATCATTGCAATGATCTTTATAGATTTATCTGATATAAATGGCCACAGTGGACAAAAGGATAGATAATGAGACACTAATTGAAGTATTTGTTTAAATAACAGGAGTGACAGTGACAGAATTTCACAAATTCTCTCATTTATACTGATAGGTCAAAGGGCAGTATGTCATACCGTACATGTCATGTCATGCAACAAACCAAATAGAAATCTGTATTTTTTTAAATAAATGTTAATTTCAAGTTTGAGGCCAAACAAATGTCCTTCTTTTTTTCTTTTTCTTTTTTTTTTTTGTATTTCACTAGGTGGACTTTGCCAACAGATTTGTAGGTGGTGGAGTCACAGGACATGGACTGGTCCAAGAAGAAATCAGGTTCCTTATCAACCCTGAACTCATTATCTCTCGCCTCTTTACTGAAGCTCTTGAATACAATGAATGCCTCATCATCACAGGTGTGTAGTTTCTTTCTTTTTCTCACACAAACATATGTATTTTTAAGTCTTGAGGCTTTGATTTGTATGACATTTTTACTGGGAACTTGATCACTGCAATCATTTTTTTTTTTTTTTAGTTAAAGAAAAAGTGATTTCATGTTTTGGGGTTGTTTTCAGATGGATAAGAAGGTTGTCTCCCTGCTCTTTCTGCCTGGGGAATGGGTCCTGACTTTTGTTTGTGCTTACAGTATGTGCTGAAAAGTTTTCTTGGAGTCACTGAGCAGGACGCTGTAAGAGTCACCATGTGGGGACTTTGTTGTCCTCCAGGGGATCTCCATGCTCACCTGGGCAACAACAATGAGAGCCTGATGAGCATGATCCTCCGGAGAGTCCATTTATTAGTTAGAACCTCTGATTCAGAAGGAACAGTGTGGTTTCAACCTGGTTGTCAAACACTGGAAAAGGTCTTGATCATCTCAAGGATAGTTCTGGGAGTTTGACTAATGGTTTTCCCTGGGATGTCCTGTGGGATGTTTTTCAGGAGTATTGTGTATTTGGCCTCTTGTTTTGGGCTATAGCTAAGTGAAAGCATGCTATGCATTGCTGCCACTTAGTTGGGCTTGTTTGTGGTGGGGTTTGGGCTCTGCCAGGTCTGCCCTTTGTCACTGGTTGTCTTCATAACTTTCATGGGTAGAATTTTGAGGCATAGCCAAATAGCGGCTTGTCTCTAGCTTGAGGGCCTCAGAATCACCTCTTTGCTTTTTGTGAATGAGGTGTTTTTTTAAATTCAATGACTAATGGCCTCCTGGTCATACTGGACTGGTTTGCAACTGAATGTGATATGGTGGAAATGAAATTGGCAAGTCAATTTTGAGATAGTAGTTGTTGGCTGGAAATGGGTGGAGGGCTCACTCAGTGCTCACTCCACTTGCTGTCTCGAGTAGAGGAGCTGTGCAGCGTTCGGTACAGTGTGATCTGTGGTGGTGGTGAAGAGACGGCAAACCTATCAATTTACTGGTTGATCTACATCCCTACTCTAATAAGTCAGTAGCTTTAGCTAGTGACTGAAAGAGTAATTTTGTGGACATAAGTGGGGGAAGTGAGCTTCTTCCGAAAGGGCTCTCCTATAAAGATAGGATGAGGAGTCATTTAGGAGGGGCTCAGTATTGAGCTGCTATAGTACCTTTACATATCAAAGGACATGGTCGAGGTGGTTTAGACATCTGACTAAGATACTTACAGGCACCTTCTACAGGTATCGCCTACCAGGAGAGGATGTGGCGGAGTCAGGACGTGCTTGAGAACTTACATCTGTTGGTTGGCTGTTGGTGTCCCCCTTCTATACCGCCTTTCAGAGCTTGAGGAGGTGGTTAGGGAGAGGAAAATCTAGAGTACTGATCCTGCAACATAGCAATATTGTCATAAAATGGATGGATAGATAGATTTATTGATTGTGTAATAATACTTGAGTATCAATGCAAGCTGTCCCCTTATGTAATGTACATGTACTGGATTATTTCAAGTAGAAAGTAAACACTATTACAAAACATATAGAACCACTAGACACTGATATATGGTGTAACCAGACTACAAATACTCTACATTTAATTTATCTTCATGCCATGGGGTATATAGGCTATTATTTGGCAATTATTCCTTGGTATTGTGTTGGCTTTCCTCTTTCTCCAATAGAAACTAGACACATCTATGTATCTCCCATGCCTTTCTAGTATTACATTTTGGTTCAAACCGGTGTTTCGTCCATCACTGAGTTATTTTCTCCTGTTCATTGAGCTCTTTGTGTTTATTGGGCTCCATTTATTTTTGCCCTCATACTTCCTTCCAGTCCGAAGGTAAATCCATTGCATTGATTCAGATGGGACTGCTTGGTTATCCGTCATTTCTCCCAAGCAGAATTGCTCTATTTTTCAACCTCCAACTCACTGTTTCGGTTATTCTTTCCTCTCATTTGCCTCCCTCCTGCAATTCTGGTCATCCTACCTGGCTTTTTTTCTTTTCCATGCCTCACATCTCGACAGTGTCAACAGAAAGAAGTATGTGCAGATTAAGATATGCAGACGTGTGGAAAAAAGTAAACATAATATAAACACTTACTTTGTTTTACTGTTTTGATGCTTTTATTTCATAAAATGATCATTTTGAGACATTATGCTGTTTGATAAATTCATCTTTTTGGCATGAGAATATATCTTTTTGACTTAAATCGCTCAAAAATGCCTGCTATTGATTGATTCTGTTTTTTTTGTAACGTGACACAAATCTGAAAAAAATTAAAATACATTTGCATTGTCGGATGTCCCTCGGCATACTTTATATGCTTGTTATTTTGGTCGGTTGAAAAGTAGAAAAAACAAATAGGATGACGTTCATGCTGCTGGACCACTTTACCAAAGAAACACACACAATGGAAAAAAAACCCGAACTCTGTCAGCAAGCCAATCGTTGTCTGTTGTCATGTGGCGCCATGTTGTCTTCCTTGAAATTCCTATCTCTCCCCAGTAACCTTCAGGTGGTTAGTCACTGTCCCCCTCTTTCCCTCCCCTCATAGTGCTTCCCTCCCTCTTCCATCCTCCTCCTCTCCACTTAACTTTATTACATTTGGACAGAAAAGAATTTATAGCCCAACTAAGGTCATTGCTGCACTAATGGAATGGGCCAGTTATGCCATAGATTCATTAAAATCTTCAGTATTCCTTGCACGAATGCTGTGTTTCCTCTTAAAGTCCCATTTCTCTTGCTAGACTCTTTTCTCTTTTGTCAAGTTGATCATATTTCTTCATCTTTAGCGATGCCCTAGCACAAGTCTTCAAGTGCATCTGGAACTTTAATGTCAGAGTACTTGTAAAACAAAACTCAAGTCTAAGTTTAAATGCCCACTGGCGTTTTACACCGGAAGGCAAGGTCTGCGATGCAATCTCCTGATGGACGTCAGCATAGCGGGATGCCATTATGGGCGGTTGCCAGACTGAAGTGGCTCAAGGTGAATAGAGAGGAGGAAGAATTTTGGTGGACACAGTGATATGGGCAGCCTGTTCTTTGACGTTAGGAGTCGCTGGTGTTGTGGAAAGCACTTTAATTGCAGTGCTGGACCTGCAGTGGCACAGTATCCTTTAAAGCAACTGCTCCTTTTGTTTGCACAGCCAGTGCCTTACTAGAAAACGCAATTTCTGTGGAAACCAAAAAAGTTTTATATGTAATGCAGAAAAAAATGTACATTAAATTTTTTTTATTAAATATTTGCAAAATTATCCATAATTGCTGGTTTTTGTTCTAGTGGCTTCTGCCCATTAACTTAAGAAACACTTTCTCATACTCTGCTCATACAACTTTAGTTCACATGTTTAACTTCTACTCTTCAACAAAGTGTAATATAACCACATCAGTCCTAATGTATGGAGCCTTTAAGGGGCAGCCTTTTCAGAAAGAAGCATAGGTGTATTATTCTAACCCTTAGGACATAGCCCTAGGTGTTACAAAGGACTCAATCTCTTAAAAACACGGGTGTGTCAGTAATTAATTTTTGCTTGTTCTGTTCTTACATTTTCTCCCAGTTGTAGCTCAAAGCTTTTCATTTAAAACCCCATAGCAGATTACTTATTAAATCAGTGGGCTTTATTCGTGACAATTCAATATAAGCTGATACTCTGTATGCTCATGTGGAGCATAGAAAGCGCTAAATTTGATTTTAGAACCTGCTGTGTGCTTTGACTGCTGAGCAATGAGTAATATTGTATTTCCCTTGTCTTATACTGCAGGAGCTGAACAATACAGTAAATACTCTGGCTATGCTGAGAGTTACAAATGGGTGGGTATCCACAAAGACGAGACACCCAGGTAATTTTTTCTCTCCCCTCCATAGGATTATTTTTGTGTTTGTTGGTACTTGTGCTGATGTTTTAAATGTAAAATCTTTCTTTCATTCCCAGGGATGACTGGCAGAGAAGATGTACAGAGATTGTGGCCATTGATGCTCTTAAATACAGGCACTTCCTGGAACAGTTTCTGCCCGAGAAGATGACCAGAGAACTCAACAAGGTGAGGGAAGATTTAGTTCAGCGGTTCTTTTTCCAAACATGTTTGTGAAAGGTGGCAAGAAACCTATAAAGTGCTGCTCTAATTTGTAGTACCTTTTTAAAGGTGTCAGTGCGATGGTGCCGAACACGGCCGATGTTATATTGTTTTTGATAAAATGTTCACTACCATGAGCTTTGACATTTTGTCTGGTACAGCTGCTAAAATCTAAGTGATATGTAAAACCGCTCAACTGCTAAATACTACATATCTCTCAATAGTATTACTCCCAATTTACTGCAGTTTTTTTCTTCACATGACTAAGAAAAATATATATTATGCACTTTTTTAACGGACTTTTTTCTCTTCTCAGTCGAGTAAATGCTTTATTGCATATTTTTATATTTGCTTATGGTTCAGCCTGAGGGTTAACACTTGCCCCCACATTATACATTAATGTGGTTTTAATTAATTTTAATAGACTCTGAGAGATCATAGAAAAGACTGTACTGTTTGTTTGTCTTCCCCACTCTTACATCCTTCTCCCTCTTTTGTTTTCGTTCCAGGCATACTGCGGATTCCATCGAAATAATGCCAACAGGAAGCACCTCTCTGCAGTGGCCACAGGCAACTGGGGCTGCGGAGCTTTTGGCGGAGACACACGGCTCAAAGGTATAATTGGATGATTTATGGCAACAAAATCTATAAACTAGGCTAGCATCTGTGTCACATTTCTTACGTTAAAAATTTAAGGCTGGATTCCCAAGACTGCAGTGAATATCAGTAGCTCAAACTTGATCACGGCATCTCCCAGTCAGTAGAGCCCCTGCTGAAGGACTTTCAGCATTTATGTAGCTAATGGTGTACGACAATTTCCAAGATGCTGTTTCTCTCAAGCCTCTCTAGAAGCTCAATTAGAAGCTCTCCCAGGGTGTCACTCTCCTGTCCCTTTTCAGTCTTTTATAGATCATCTGACACATTTATGTTTTCCATTAAATGGGCGATTGATTACAGAGAAAGACGACCATAAATCCAGCTGATGCTGGTCTCAGTTTGCTTACACAACATCAGTCTTCATAAGCAGGGAGACCCTTACTGTTGTTTTTTGGCCAATTGTGTGTTGGATGTGCAGAGTTTTCTGTATGCCTAAATTCATGGCGCATGTACCCTGTTTTTGCTGTGCACATCAGTGCTTTAAGGCTATGCTTCTGGACTGTTGGATTTAAAACTGAAGCTGCTAATTTCCTCTGCAGCATGCTATGAATAGATCCCCTGGACTTCACATAGTCCCCGAGGATGATATTAGCTTCCGGGGGGCCCCGCCCATTAGCTCCAGTGTTAGCATAGTTGGTATTTTTGGAAGCTAATAACTGTATTTTACATGAAAGTCCAGGAGCTGACTTGAGATGTGGTATTTACATAACACTAGTCGGGTATTTTGAAGTAAAGATTACAGAGCTTTTGCAAATGATGTCATTAATCTGAACTGTATAACCATTCTGTTAAATATTTAAAAATCATGAAACCTAATTTGCAGGAGCTCAGAGACTGAATGCTGTTTACGAGGCTATTCTACCAACACTGGATTATTTACTCCACTAATACAAATTGCCACTCATGTTCTTTTATGCCACAGGCTGTACGTTATCTGGCTTATTGACCAATTATTTAGTCTGTCATGCTTTTCAGCGCTCAATTACACCTTTATAGTTTTATTCTGGAATGTTGTCGCCTGAATTTTCGTCTTGAAATTCGCCTTCTCTCTTTTTCAGCGCTGATTCAATTCATGGCAGCAGCAGAGGCTGGGCGAGATGTGGCGTATTTCACATTTGGAGATGCTCAGCTGATGAAAGATGTTCATGAAATGCACGCTTTCCTCACCGAGAGTCTGGTCACCGTTGGTAAGATTCACACAAAAGACGTTTGTGGCTAAGCTGTGGTCACTCAGTAGAATTATTAGAAACAGGAACTTTTTGCTTTTGTACCTCAAGGGAGGTTTTCCTTCTTGGTGTCATTACAGGACTGTGTGTATAAATAACAGCACACACTCCATGGGTATGTTAAGGTACTCTACCATATGGGCCATCTCCCCGCTCCTCAGCCCATCCATTCAGCCTGAGCCGCAGAGTGGATTACTGCCTAAACTGGCCCCGGCCTCTTCCCTCCCCCTCTCTTCATTTTTCTTCTGTTGACATTTATTGAAGCCTTTCAGAGAAATTCCCCTCTAGCCATCCATTTCCTAAAGTGGAGCTACAGGGGGGGGGGGTTGCAGTATGCGAGTGCGTATGTGCGCTTGATTTATAAATGAGCCCGAGTACACCTTCAGTTTTTTCTTACCTGCTTGAGTGTCTGTTTCTCTCGTTCACGATTCGTTTGTGCTTTTGGTCCTATTCTCTTAAATCCCGTCTTCCTTACATGTTTCTTGACCCGCGTCCCTTTTGTCTCTCCTCCACCTCTCTTCCCCTCTCTCCACCACCCTTTTTTACCCTCACAGGGCAGCTGTACGACCTTTTAAACCAGTACTTCAACGAGGTGTGCAAGAATTGTCACACGACACGACCTGACGTCAGCCTCTACAGATTCATCTATGAGACAGTCTCTTCCCCAGCAGCCTCCGACACCTTGAACACTGCTAAGGATTCTGGGATGTCTCCTGTGACTTCAGACTCTCATTAACAGGAAAACAACTGTAACCTAATCTTACCTCCCTTCTCCTTTCACACTTTGTAAAAGAGGCAGTGTGCCCTTAGTATTGTGGTTACGGTCACTTGTTTTCCCCTCTCTCTCTCTCTCTCTCTCTCTCTCTCTCTCTCTCACACACACACACACACACACACACACACACACACACACACTTTAAGTTTGTGATCCCAACATGCTAGCTATCAAAACACATTTCTGCCTTTCTCACTGGTGGTATTATAGGAATCTCATAGTACGGCACCAAATGTGGTGACTTTTTTCAGAGACTTATAGCAATAGTAAATCCTGGTTGCTGTTCTTTCTTTAGTCCAGATGTAATGTGGAGGGTTTGTTTTTTTTGTTTTTATTTTACACACTAAATACAAATATGCCCAAATATTCATCATATGCATGGTTGTGAACAAATTTCACCATTGATAATCCAGGACATGATAATCCTCCCTGGTTATCGTGTCTTGTATTGTGTTTGCTACACTTTCTGGATGAGTTGTGTTCTCTACTTACTGTACCCGGGCTATGGTGAGGTGCCTGAATGAGATGCCATTCTGTAGTCTATGCATGGGTAACATTTATTTATCAAATATTCTACAAATATATGCTGCTCTTTTATATCCTGTCTGATACCGAAGTGTAACATACATATTGTCCTTAAGGCATATTTTACTATGGATCACAACAATCAAAATGATCACTAGTAATGTAAATCATCTCAAATTAAACATACAGGAAATTTAAGCTCACAGTCTAGACGTTTCAATTTACTCTGAACAACTTCATTTGCTACATACAGGGGGATTGAATAAAGTTAAAATGGCACGAACAATATTTTTGTTATATGTTTTTACGCAACATTTATTTTGGGGATCACGTTTTCTATTATTTACTGTGTTTTCTGATTGGCAGTGTGGATTCTATTTAATGGGTTTGGTTACATTAAAGCCTGTGAGTATTGCATAGAACTGTAATTTAGGCTTTTAGGTTGTACGTTTTATTATAATTTCTTAATAAAAGTATGACATGTATTTCTCTGCTCTGCGTTGCGTTTCCCTGCTCAAATAAACACGGTTCACTGAATAAAGTGATCGCCACAATGTGAAATTTAGGCGCAATGATTGAACCGAAAATTCTTTAAAGAGGTCGTTCTGTAGTGTAACATTATGTAGTTTCTATACATCAGTGTAATGTAATTATCCATAAAAAATAACAGATTTTGCTGCAATCTCGGGGCTTCGTCCAGTTTGGAACAGTGTCTTGGCACTGCACTTCACTGTCACTTAATTTCATGAAATCATACATTATTTAATCATCTGATTGATTTTTGTGATAGCACGTGTACCTAGGGCTTTCAGAAAAATTAAATTCCGCCTTCAAACATGCTGTATTAGATGAATTAGGGCTCCTAAATAACCTCATGACGTGGACTTCCATAAATGGTGTGTAGGCTTGGCTGAGGTAAGTGGATTACACATTATCTGCTTCTTCTGCTCTTTGTACTGAGCCCTGCATTGACCAAACAAGCTGCGGACTCACGCATAAAGTTAATTTGGTTAAGCAGATCTAACTGTCGATGTGAGCGTGGGTTACCTGGATGTGAACATTATTCAGGTTGCTGGTGCCTGCTGGATTTAATCAAACAACACTAAACATTGACTGAATTTGGCAGGCTGATCCTGCAAATGAATAACCTTAGTCAACAGAAATGATGATATATTAAGACTGTTTTGTTTTCTTCTCTTTTCCCTTTTTTAATTAATCTTTATATATCACTAGAAATGGGTGTTTATGGAATATTCACTCCTTTCTGATTTTCACCACTGCAGACACAGACAGCCGCTCCGGTTTTGCCCAGTGTAGTGATGTAATCATTCTAAACAGGAAGTTATTTAACATCGAGCTTGTAATGTTACCCAGCGGCACAGGTCGTTTCATCAATGAACATTAATAATAACGTGCCAAAAAGCAACTGGTCTTCACTCAATCTCCGTCAGACGGCAAAGTCACTGCAACAAAATGGCATTTCAGTTCATAATTGCCTGACCCTGCAAAGTCCGGGTCACCTGCAGAGCAGCAGCAAACTCAAATGTTAAGCAAAAGCAAATAATAGAAAAAAGGAAAACACTCTCAGGAGACACTGAGCCTTATTGCTGGCTGAGAATTATTGATACATTGTTATATGAAGTGTGTTAAGAAACAGACATTTTCGTGTCATTAAAAGGAGCTTAAAACAAGAAAACGGGGATGCTGTAATTAGCGATGCTCTGATATTTAGACCTACCCTGTTCTGTCTGCTTGATCCTCTTGCGACTAGTGCTCACTCCATTATCCCCCTGTCAGTGGTGTGTTTGTCATGATTGATAATACTGTTCCTTCTGTGGCAGCAAGTATGAAAGATGAAAATCCAGATGAGGACGAGAGCGGGGTTAGAAATGGGGAAGGAAAGAGGGTGGAGGGAGGGAGAAGGGGTGGGAAGGAGGGCCAATTATTTTATTGTTTAACCCACTCAAGGTAGAAGCCCATCAATCTGAAAGCCCTTGATCAAATGACTCGTGTTCAGCCTTTATAAAACTTTAATTGGTTTATGTAATTAACACTGACATATGTGTGATGCATCTTAGAAAGAAAAATTACTTGGGTGGATGTTAACCGTGTGCCTGAAGTGACAGGATTGAGGAAAGTTCTCTGATTATAAAATTGAGTTCACAGCACAAACACAAGAACTAATAGGGTTGCTATATATATATGCTATATATGTTTATTTGATTACATCTATTTGTTTTTAATGATCTTTTTTAAATCCTCTGTATGAACAGATATTTTAGGTCGCTACCTAGGTACCTTTGGGTGCAGCAAGTTGCCTCTGTGCGGAGAAGCGTCACCTGACACCGAGGGGGCGTGCCGAGCAGCTGCTCTTGTCCTCGGATCTGTGTCACCTTCATTGATACCTGTCCCACTTGCACCTCTCGGCGATGACAGTAAAGCCAAACAACAGTGCAGTCTAAGGTAAAGGCACTTTATAGAAATAAAAGGCAGGCGACATTTTAACCCTGTATATTTTTGTTCCGTGTTGCGCTTGAGCAGTATCAGGGACGAGCGGAGATTATGAGGATTTATTTTGGTGAGGGATTAGAGGTCCGAAAGTGGAACAGTCGCAGAATGAAATATAAAATGTTTTGATACTGATGCCTGCGATGTTGAGTGAAGGAAACAAAAAAGATCATGCAGGAAAAAGGTGAGGAAGAATGTAGCAGTCGGTCACATACTGCAGCACTTAGTGGAGCGTCATACGGGCTGTTCGCGTTTTGCAGCTGCACACGTTCTACGCAGAAACGGACTGTTCCTTCAGGCTGATCTTAGTGAAACTCAGTGCAAACTGTTAAAGCCACCCTGTGTTGCAAACACAGTCCCTTTAGGTGTGATTTGCGCTTTTCCCAAACACAGATGAGTATCACTCTAGCTGGGATTTTTACAAAAATGTCCCATTCCGTTTGCGGTAAAAAATTCATCTCTGTTCACATTCCTGCGTGGTATGTCTGTCTTAACCTTTTAGTGTTAACCTTAGGGTTTTTTTGGGGTTTTTTTTTTTTTAGATGAGTCAGTTTCGGGTATTAGCTGGTGTGCTGAAAGGTGGAGGGAGCCCCTTCCTTCGATGGCGTGCAGGAGGGCTGACCTGGCGCTGCTGGGCTCATCCAAAGAGAGGCTGCTCCTCTAGGACTGATCCTCTTCCAGCAGTGGTCAGCAACTCCAGCTATGTGGAGGAGATGTATTTGGCATGGCTGGATGACCATAAAAACGTCCACGAGGTAACAATGTGTAGCATAAACTGCATCTTAAGTTACACAGAAAAAGGTCGGTTGAATATACCTTTCCATAAATGAAAATTTAAAGAGAAAACTATGACACCTAGAGAATTTGTGCAGAAGTTACTCAAATTGCAAGCTGGTGCCAGTGCTGGTTCTGAAATACAGCTGAATATCCCTGACCTTACTAAGGTTTTTCTTGTTAAATTATGTTATTCTTAGTTCAGCTGCCTTGGGCATCTGATGTAGTTGCGTTGTCCTGGATTCTCATCCAGCTTTTCCCTATTCTGTCACCCGTGTCCAAGCATTCACTAGTCACTGAATAATCATGTTACATATACCAGCGTTCCTTTGATGGATCTGTCTGTCTCTCTGCTGTAGTCTTGGGACAGTTTCTTCCGTAACATCCAGGCCTCCGGTCCATCTGGCGAGGCGGATGAGAGACGGCCCTCTGCTCTGCTGCAGGGCCGAGTGTTGTCCCACTCACTAGACGTGGCAGAGAAAGTGGTGGAGGACCACCTGGCTGTGCACACCCTCATTAGAGCTTACCAGGTAGGCCACACTCACCTGGCACAGCTGTGAGGATAACACACACACACACACACACACACACACACACACACACACACACACACACACATATAGATATACAGACATTTAATTTTGATGTGATGCTGATTTATGATATAATTAAGTCACATCTCATAGCCATCCATTTAAATCTTAAGGCAATGTCTGTGTATGGAATTAAGATGTCATCCATCTCGAGCTGCAACTGACTATTTGCATCTCTGACGAGTATGTGAAAAATACATCAAACAGACTCCGCTTGGACTTGGAGAAGCAGATGCAATTGGCAAAGAAAGCTGTTTGTGCGTGTCCTTGTATTAAAAGGAATATACAACTTGTTTGTCACTGCACGAGGTTATGCAAATTGCAAGATTAACTCCAACCTACTTACCCTGACTGCTTTTTGAAAATGGAAAAATCAAAGAGACTACTTAAACAAAGCAGGTGGTAACATTTCCACTCGCCCTCTAATTAATTCAAGGAACTATCCAAGGGATTTATTAAATTCAGTCTTTTGGCAAAGGCGTCATTTTTATTCCCAGCTTGTTGCAGTCCTGGTGGAAATGTTTATGTCTGCGTGTGTACACAGACATAAAAGCTCTCCCAGGAGTATCTTTTCTCTGAAAGGTTGACCTATAACTGAGTGTTAGCTTATTCTCCAGCTGTTCATACTCAGTTTGATGATGGAAACCAAATTGCTTATTGTTTTTTTCTGCCTGTCAGATTCTCTCATTTAGTTTTTAAAATCTAATTCTCTATCCTTTCTTCACCCCCACTGCACATTTCCATCTGTCTCTCTGTTTAGATCCGTGGTCACCATGTTGCTCAGTTAGACCCTTTAGGAATCCTGGATGCTGACCTCGACTCTTTCGTTCCGTCCGACCTGATCACCACTATTGATAAATTAGGTGAGATGCTTTCTTTTAGTCATTTGAGTCATGTCTGATTTAGGCTTTGAAGAGGAAGTTGTATGGGACTCCTTGTTTTAGACCCCGTCTGATGGAATATATATGGATTTAACCCTGAGGCTGTATATATGCTGATGAGTATCCTACTATAGAAATCTTCCCTTGTATTTAACTCTAAAGATGCTTCCCATGTTTTAGGATTTCAGTCTCAAAAGCTTAATCTTGCCTTGCTTATGGTGACAATATTGTATTTGTCTGTTTCTTGGACCGTATTTCAACATTTTTGTATTTTTTACAGTAGATACATGTACAGCTTCACTTACATTAAAGATCAAGGGTTATATAACTGATCACACTGATGAGTGGATGTGGTTTTTCAGTACAAAGCACCTATCAAGTCTGTATACTGGTTGGTCAGCCTGATGCTGTCATTAATCTCAGGCTGAGCTCTTGTCATTCTCCATTTCATTTAGCGAACTGAGGGTCGGAGGATGCGGGATGGCCACAGAAAGCGATCGAAGTCTACAGGAATAGATAGTAAGGAGGAGAGAGAGCGAGTGAGAGGGAGGAAAAGAGAGACATTGTTTCTGTTGGCTGGTGTTATCAGTGATCAGTGAGAGTCATGACATAGCATCGCATTATGTATGATCACCAGGGCTATAGTTCCCTAATGAAAGCTAATGACAGCCTCCATGGCCCCTTATTTGGTCAGCTGATTGTACACAAGTCTATTCTTGGCCCCCTTTG